AATTAATAAAAATTAATAAAAATTAATAAAAATTAATAAAAATTAATAAAAATTAATAAAAATTAATAAAAATTAATAAAAATTAATAAAAATTAATAAAAATTAATAAAAATTATTAAAAATTATTAAAAATTATTAAAAATTATTAAAAATTATTAAAAATTATTAAAAATTATTAAAAATTATTAAAAAATTATTAAAAATTATTAAAAATTATTAAAAATTATTAAAAATTATTAAAAATTATTAAAAATTATTAAAAATTATTAAAAATTATTAAAATTATTAAAAATTATTAAAAATTATTAAAAATTATTAAAAATTATTAAAAATTATTAAAAATTATTAAAAATTATTAAAAATTATTAAAAATTATTAAAAATTATTAAAAATTATTAAAAATTATTAAAAATTATTAAAAATTATTAAAAATTATTAAAAATTATTAAAAATTATTAAAAATTATTAAAAATTATTAAAAATTATTAAAAATTATTAAAAATTATTAAAAATTATTAAAAATTATTAAAAATTATTAAAAATTATTAAAAATTATTAAAAATTATTAAAAATTATTAAAAATTATTAAAAATTATTAAAAATTATTAAAAATTATTAAAAATTATTAAAAATTATTAAAAATTATTAAAAATTATTAAAAATTATTAAAAATTATTAAAAATTATTAAAAATTATTAAAAAATTATTAAAAATTATTAAAAATTATTAAAAATTATTAAAAATTATTAAAAATTATTAAAAATTATTAAAAATTATTAAAAATTATTAAAAATTATTAAAAATTATTAAAAATTATTAAAAATTATTAAAAATTATTAAAAATTATTAAAAATTATTAAAAATTATTAAAAATTATTAAAAATTATTAAAAATTATTAAAAATTATTAAAAATTATTAAAAATTATTAAAAATTATTAAAAATTATTAAAAATTATTAAAAATTATTAAAAATTATTAAAAATTATTAAAAATTATTAAAAATTATTAAAAATTATTAAAAATTATTAAAAATTATTAAAAATTATTAAAAATTATTAAAAATTATTAAAAATTATTAAAAATTATTAAAAATTATTAAAAATTATTAAAAATTATTAAAAATTATTAAAAATTATTAAAAATTATTAAAAATTATTAAAAATTATTAAAAATTATTAAAAATTATTAAAAATTATTAAAAATTATTAAAAATTATTAAAAATTATTAAAAATTATTAAAAATTATTAAAAATTATTAAAAATTATTAAAAATTATTAAAAATTATTAAAAATTATTAAAAATTATTAAAAATTATTAAAAATTATTAAAAATTATTAAAAATTATTAAAAATTATTAAAAATTATTAAAAATTATTAAAAATTATTAAAAATTATTAAAAATTATTAAAAATTATTAAAAATTATTAAAAATTATTAAAAATTATTAAAAATTATTAAAAATTATTAAAAATTATTAAAAATTATTAAAAATTATTAAAAATTATTAAAAATTATTAAAAATTATTAAAAATTATTAAAAATTATTAAAAATTATTAAAAATTATTAAAAATTATTAAAAATTATTAAAAATTATTAAAAATTATTAAAAATTATTAAAAATTATTAAAAATTATTAAAAATTATTAAAAATTATTAAAAATTATTAAAAATTATTAAAAATTATTAAAAATTATTAAAAATTATTAAAAATTATTAAAAATTATTAAAAATTATTAAAAATTATTAAAAATTATTAAAAATTATTAAAAATTATTAAAAATTATTAAAAATTATTAAAAATTATTAAAAATTATTAAAAATTATTAAAAATTATTAAAAATTATTAAAAATTATTAAAAATTATTAAAAATTATTAAAAATTATTAAAAATTATTAAAAATTATTAAAAATTATTAAAAATTATTAAAAATTATTAAAAATTATTAAAAATTATTAAAAATTATTAAAAATTATTAAAAATTATTAAAAATTATTAAAAAATTATTAAAAATTATTAAAAATTATTAAAAATTATTAAAAATTATTAAAAATTATTAAAAATTATTAAAAATTATTAAAAATTATTAAAAATTATTAAAAATTATTAAAAATTATTAAAAATTATTAAAAATTATTAATTAAAAATTATTAAAAATTATTAAAAATTATTAAAAATTATTAAAAATTATTAAAAATTATTAAAAATTATTAAAAATTATTAAAAATTATTAAAAATTATTAAAAATTATTAAAAATTATTAAAAATTATTAAAAATTAAATTAATAAAAGTTAATAAAAGTAATAAAAATTAATAAAAATTAATAAAAATTAATAAAAATTAATAAAAATTAATAAAAATTAATAAAAATTAATAAAAATTAATAAAAATTAATAAAAATTAATAAAAATTAATAAAAATTAACAAAAATTAATAAAAATTAATCAAAATTAATAAAAAATTAATAAAAATTAATAAAAATTAATAAAAAATTAATAAAAATTAATAAAAAATTAATAAAAATTAATAAAAATTATTAAAAAGTAATAAAACAATAAAAATTAATAAAAATTAATAAAAATTAATAAAAATTAATAAAAATTAATAAAAATTAATAAAAATTAATAAAAATTAATAAAAATTAATAAAAATTAATAAAAATTAATAAAAATTAATAAAAATTAATAAAAATTAATAAAAATTAATAAAAATTAATAAAAATTAATAAAAATTAATAAAAATTAATAAAAATTAATAAAAATTAATAAAAATTAATAAAAATTAATAAAAATTAATAAAAATTAATAAAAATTAATAAAAATTAATAAAAATTAATAAAAATTAATAAAAATTAATAAAAATTAATAAAAATTAATAAAAATTAATAAAAATTAATAAAAATTAATAAAAATTAATAAAAATTAATAAAAATTAATAAAAATTAATAAAAATTAATAAAAATTAATAAAAATTAATAAAAATTAATAAAAATTAATAAAAATTAATAAAAATTAATAAAAATTAATAAAAATTAATAAAAATTAATAAAAATTAATAAAAATTAATAAAAATTAATAAAAATTAATAAAAATTAATAAAAATTAATAAAAATTAATAAAAATTAATAAAAATTAATAAAAATTAATAAAAATTAATAAAAATTAATAATAATTAATAAAAATTAATAAAAATTAATAAAAATTAATAAAAATTAATAAAAATTAATAAAAATTAATAAAAATTAATAAAAATTAATAAAAATTAATAAAAATTAATAAAAATTAATAAAAATTAATAAAAATTAATATAAATTAATAAAAATTAATAAAAATTAATAAAAATTAATAATAATGAATAAAAATTAATAAAAATTAATAAAAATTAATAAAAATTAATAAAAATTAATAAAAATTAATAAAAATTAATAAAAATTATTAAAAATGAATAAAAATGAATAAAAACGAATAAAAAGAATAAAAATAATAAAAATGAATAAAAATGAATAAAAATGAATAAAAATGAATAAAAATGAATAAAAATGAATAAAAATGAATAAAAAATGAATAAAAATGAATAAAAATTAATAAAAATGATAAAAATAAATAAAAATGAATAATAATGAATAAAAATGAATAAAAATTAATAAAAATTAATAAAAATGAATAAAAATTATTAAAAATTATTAAAAATTATTAAAAATGAATAAAAATGAATAAAAACGAATAAAAATGAATAAAAATGAATAAAAATGAATAAAAATGAATAAAAATGAATAAAAATGAATAAAAATGAATAAAAATGAATAAAAATGAATAAAAATGAATAAAAATGAATAAAGATGAATAAAAATGAATAAAAATGAATAAAAATGAATAAAAATGAATAAAAATGAATAAAAATGAATAAAAATGAATAAAAATGAACAAAAATGAATAAAAATGAATAAAAATGAATAAAAATGAATAAAAATGAATAAAAATGAATAAAAATGAATAAAAATGAATAAAAATGAATAAAAATGAATAAAAATTAATAAAAATGAATAAAAATGAATAAAAATGAATAAAAATGAATAAAAATGAATAAAAATGAATAAAAATGAATAAAAATGAATAAAAATGAATAAAAATGAATAAAAATGAATAAAAATGAATAAAAATGAATAAAAATGAATAAAAATGAATAAAAATGAATAAAAATGAATAAAAATGAATAAAAATGAATAAAAATGAATAAAAATGAATAAAAATGAATAAAAATGAATAAAAATGAATAAAAATGAATAAAAATGAATGAATAAAAATGAATAAAAATGAATAAAAATGAATAAAAATGAATAAAAATGAATAAAAATGAATAAAAATGAATAAAAATGAATAAAAATGAATAAAAATGAATAAAAATGAATAAAAATGAATAAAAATGAATAAAAATGAATAAAAATGAATAAAAATGAATAAAAATGAATAAAAATGAATAAAAATGAATAAAAATGGATAAAAATGAATAAAAATGAATAAAAATGAATAAAAATGAATAAAAATGAATAAAAATGAATAAAAATGAATAAAAATGAATAAAAATGAATAAAAATGAATAAAAATGAATAAAAATGAATAAAAATGAATAAAAATGAATAAAAATGAATAAAAATGAATGAATACAAATCAATACAAATGAATAATATGAATTAATATAAAAAAATGAATAAAAATGAATCAATAAAACTAATAAAAAAGGAAGTCATGTATTTTTTTATATTTATAACACGACTACATGCGAGCAAAGTCGCGAGCAAAGCCGCGGGCAATAGCTAGTCATTTATATAATTCTTTAAAAGCACAGGACTTTGTGAAAATGTTGCTTAAATATTTACCCAAATAATTTAACTTTGACAATACACTAGTGAGTAGAACATTAGTTTTAAAAGATTTTCAACCCTAGATAAGTTAAAATAAAATTTCTTGCAGGTTATTTATTATTAACAAATAAACTTACCAATATGTTTTGACGAAAAAATATCATCTCCTTGAACATTGTTTAAAATAGAAATGAAAACAATGCATGTTACAACCACTTGTTGTCGGCACTTCATTATTCTATTAAATAAAGAGCTGCATTATGTTATATATGTTGGTATATACTATTTTTTATCAGTTTTTTTTTAGGCTTAGCGGAATTACATAGCTGTGGTCAAAGGTGATAGGGCATAAGTTAATTTTTGGTGATATTGAGTTATTAGTTGATAAAACTATTAATTATTGCCAATATATTAAAAAAAATATTGCTCAATTTAGTTTGAACATTTCAACAGATTCTCCAGAAAATTGACAAAATCATTTTTTTGTTCCTTGTTAACAAGATTGTTTGGTATATTTTTTTCTTTGGCAAATATTCAAGTTTCAATCAAATAAACAATCTAAAGTGTTTTTCTGTTTTCATATTTTTAATGTAGCATCTTAAAAATGTCCAGCGCATACTGATTTATAATTGATAATAATAATAATAATAAGGTAAAAATAGCACCAATCACGAAACCGTTGTCAAACGCTGGTTCCTGATCGTTAAGAAAAAGAAGGAACGTCTGTTTTCACAAACCCCTTCTTAATTAAAAGATTTTTTATAGAACAGCTGTAAATTATTCTCTCTATTATTATCTCGCAATTGTAAGTTATTATCACGCAACTGTTACTATTATCACGTAATTGTGACTTACTATCTCGCAATTGTTACTTATTATCACGCAATTGTGACTTATTATCACGCAATGGTAACTTACTATCTCGCAATTGCGACTTATTATCAAGCAATTGTGACTTATTATCACGCAATTGTGACTTACTATCTCGCAATTGCGACTTACTATCACGCAATTGTGACTTATTATCACGCAATTGTGACTTACTATCTCGTAATTGTGACTTATTATCACGCAATTGTGACTTACTATCACGCAATTTTAGAAACATAAATGACATTTTGTGTTTACCCAATACACTCACAAAAGAAACGATAAATACAATTGAATATTTGAAGAAGTATCTACCAGAATGTAACGACAATATTTAATGCCAACTTTTGGAAGGTTGAAATTGATTAGTTTCTGAATATAATACATAACACAAAATTATGTTTTATTTTTGCGAAGGAAATATTCTTTTATTTGTTCTTTTCTCTTTAATGTTGTTTCTATTTTTGTTTATTTTATAATTTGGTGTATGTACTACCAAAAACAGTATTTTTTACCATTTATTTTTGTATGACAGTATTTCTCGTTAGTATCTTAAGTTTCTATTTGGTCTAAAAATGCATTACTCACGAAGTTTTATTTCGTTTTACCATTTAAGACTGGTTTCTTTTTTTTTTGAGTGATAACTTGTCACGATTTCAATACTAGTATTTTATTAAAGTTACCTGTTTCACTTTTTAATAGACTCTTTGCATTACATGTTGATATGTATTTAAATTTGTTATTTCAAATCGTACATCACTGTGGACATAGATGTGGTTGATTGTATAATTTAAGATTAAACGACTTACCTGTAAGGAAGTTCAATCGTAATTATACGACTGGTCCAGTCCTGATAGAATACACATGTAGTTGCTTCATTTTATGCAAGCGTACACTATTTTTAAAGAAAACAAAACAATTTCCTGTCCCATCACATCACCCATACTTCATTACGCGTTTTAGTAATCGCGACCTTTCGGGTTGGGTAATGTACAAAAGTAAGCCCTTACTTTAAAGGGAGGGATGTTCTATTCTTTTACAATTCCATTAAAAATAATACAAAAGAGTACAAACTAACAAATTATATGTTTTCATTAGTTAACTGTTTTAATTATAATCTAATGCCATATCAAAATACAAATAGGTGTAAATATATTCTATTAGGCTAATCTCTAAAATTAAATAAATTTTAGATTTCTAATTTGTAAATCAGGAGTTAATATTTCTCACTAGTTCATTGTCATTGATAAGCGGCCTGTTATAAACTTTATAAAATTTCTGGGAAATCTTTGATCAACGTACCGGCTGCAGCTCTAATCGTTTCTATGTTAACTACAGCTCTAAATGCCGCTACAGAAGCGGCATGCCTTAAATACTATAGGCTTGAGAAATATTTGTGTTAGTGCCTTCTTTATTTAACATTTTTCTTATCCACCTTGAAACAGTCTCATAGGATGCTGCATGGTAAGGCTTGTGATGTGTAATTAGTAAATTCTCAATATTACCTCTTATTAATTTAGTTTTCTCAATGTAAAACAATAATACCGAAGCGACACTAATTACAATTTTTTTTTTTTGAGCAAGGTATTATTAACTTAGGCTGATCATGATTTCAATAGTTTCGGCATTAATATCCCAATTTTTTCCCCCAGGTATTCCCTATCTCTATTTTTCAAATAGTTTTTATCCTATGTGCTGTGGAAAGAGCAAGTAGTATAAGTATAAATATAATAAGAGATTACGGGTCCCACGTATGACAATATCTAGAAAATGTAGGACCCTTCAAAAAACGATTTATCAAGTGATCCTCTGTATTCTTTGACAAAATATTCCACACGATCTAGTAGTATTGAAAATATAATAACTTTAGCCTTTAACAAATTGTTCATTTAAAAATTCAATAATATTGATATTGATTATTAAATCTAAAATATTAATTTTACACAGCATCTACCATACGATCTCCTGATAAGAGTTCTATAACCAGGGTAAGGCTCGACCACAGGACGAAACAATTTTTTTTTTATTTTTGGCCTACAGAGATATAGTCACCAACAAGTAATTTCGTAAATATAGGAAACCATTCTAGTATGAAGAAGGTATCTCATATAATTACAAATTAACTGTGTCTAACCATATATCGGAGACAACCTGTATAATGTATTTTTTAATGTATGGGTAAAAATAAATTTAAATAAGTAGTTAAAAGATATATTGTTCGAATGTTATATAAGAGGGCGATAAAAACCAATCTGTATAACAACGAACCAACCCAAAAAATAACTAAAATATTATTAATATTTCGAATTATTACATGGATAGCTTTCAATTCCAATTTCTTTTTTCGTTTCGATTACGTCACGATATCGATAACGTATAGAGAAAGAATAACATTCCAATATAAACACATAAACAATCAAAACAAAGTAAACGGCTATCAATTTAAAGCACTTACTTGAACAACCAATAGAAATATCTTCTAACCTTTTTTTAAAACTTTAATCTTAATCATTTTTTCACAAACATTTCTTTTTTTATTTTTACAAAATTCACTTTATAAATTTAATATCGAAGTGTACACTCACACACTAAAAAGCGTAATGAAGTAAGGGTGATGTGATGGGACAGGAAATTGTTTTGTTTTCTTTAAAAATAGTGTACGCTTGCATAAAATGAAGCAACATGTGTATTCTATCAGGACAGGACCAGGAAGTATAATTTGGAATTAAACTGTTTCACTGGCTCTTGGACAGTTTGCATCGAGTTTTAAAGAAACCTGAACAAACCTACATTATAATAGTTTTGAATTAAATTGTTGAAATAGCTTTGATTCTGAAATTTTGACTGCTGTTTAAACGTCACATTAGGAATTAATTATAGATCATTTTTTAATTTGCAAATTTTACTTTTCTGTTTTTTATTAAATTTATTTAAAAATCCATTATCGAAACGTTGTTCCTTATGTAAGATTCAAATTCAATTGATGACTGACCGTCTTTGAAATTTTGATCTATATTATTAGAATGTAACACAAGTAATCTGGAGGTGCGATAACAACATTACTAAGTATTTTTATCTTTGGTGAATCTGGTTTTGAGGGTGCTAAAGGCAAAGCAAATCTTAGCAGTCTCAAAATTATCTCATAATTCATGATTGGTTTCACATGGAATGTTTAAAATGTGGCACCATTCTTTCTTTGATTTGGAAATTATGTATTTATAATAAATTTTTCCTGGTAAAGACTCGTTAAAGCATCAAAATACCTTTACTTAATTTTAAATAATCCTAAATAACATATCTAAAATTAAAATAAATAAAAGTACTCTCACTCACATGTTTTCGTCGGCGGCAACTATAACCATATTGTTTTTTTGACTTAGATAAAAGAGACCGGAGATGTAACATTGCACATCGCGCACGTTGTTTATTCCAACCCTAAGTAACCCACCAATTAAAAAGCATTGTGTTAAACCGATTTATTATATTGATTTTTTTTAAATTTCAGTTCATTTATTAATTTTGTTTTAAAATCAGTTGATCATTTGGCAACATTGGCGTTCGTGTTCATTGTTTACATTTTAATTTGTATCAATTACAATTCGAGTTTTTTCTTACTTTTTAGCTTTAAATTTGTTTATGTCTTATAGTATGTGATAGTGTTTATATTAAAAATGGAATCTGCGAAAACGTCTCCAGAAAATTGCAATCTATATGGTGTTAATGTCAAAATCAAAACTGAAGTATTCAATATTTTCCAAGTGCAAGTCGTAAAATTGTGTTTTTTACGATAAATGAATATCTACAAATTCACAATATTGAAATTTTACAAAACTTTGTTATTATCGAGTAAATTTAGAGATGGGGTAGTAACAAATTCGCAAATGTAATTAACAGTTACAGATTTGCTAATAACCTTCTCTAAATTCCAGTGTAACACCGGAACCACTTGGAACTTTAGAAACGTCGTAACCGAACTTCGATTTTTGTTCAAGGACGACTTACCCAAGTTCGACTCAGCCAAGTTCTGTTTATAAATATTTATAAACAAAACTCAGCTGAGTCGGATTTGGGTAAGTCGTCCTCATAGATAACTAATGTGAATAGATGGGAAACTCAATGGTAAAATTCTGAGTCGATGTGCTGCTATCTATCAAATTGGAGTGGTACTAAAATTCAATATGGCCATCACGAGCGGGCTTTTTGATATTTAACTTTGTAGTAGCGCAAAAATGTAATGAAGAAAATCAAATAAAGCAAAAAATTGGAAAAATATTTGACTAAATTCAAATCATAAAACAACCATATTGACTGTTTTGTGATTTGAAACTAGTCAAATATTTTGCCAATTTATATCTTTATTCGA